AGGTACCCTGAGTCTAAATAACCAAGTCCCACAAAATGGTCTGTGTGAGTGTATGTGAGCAGTCTAGCTCAAAAATGAAAAATCGTATGAAAATTATATTACGTATTTAGGATAGGTATATGCCTTAGATGTGACAGCAACTTTTTCCTTAAAATCGGCTAATTTGAAGTGCCACTTTCTATCAACACTGAAACACATTTTTACAATTTTCTCAAAAATGGCTCTAACGATTTTGACTAAACTCAATTTATCATTATATAATTAAGTGGTCTTTAATATCAATCAGGTCTTATCACCATTAATGTCACTTTACAGAGCTTAAATGCCTAATATTCATATATGGCTTCCTCTAAGGTACGTTTAATATGGTTTATTTTAAATAATTAATCAACTCAAATTATTAAAAGTTACGAAAAAGTACTAAATATAACTTTTGAAAGAATTCGATAATTTAATAAAGGAGAAAAAAATAAAAATGCATATCCATGTCGAAAATGATTCTTTGGAAATACTAGTCGGAACGTATGCGTATAATATATCGTTGCAAAGCGAATTTTAGAAAAAAACAATATCTAATGAAGAAAGTTGTAGAAGGTAACGGAGAGTGGAGAAAAATTATAAATAATAATTTTGAAAACTAATATTATTTAACGTTAATCAGATGTTTTCAAGAAAATTAAACTTTTAAAATATTTTTAAGTTTGGAAAATGTATTTAAAAGCCACCGAATCAAGGCAATGGCATTGTTTAAAAAACTATTTCATTGTATTTGTGTGAAAGAAGAAGTGAAATATCAAATGATTTCATGGATGTATAAAGCATATGTTTATAACCTTAAATACATTTACTGTTGTTTAATAATTCCTAGATCTGATATTATATTTAAAAAAGTAGGTATCAACGTCCGTTTACTCCGAAAAATCATCATGTAACCTTTTAGAAAATTAAATTAGTGAATAATTTGATGATTTTTCTCTTTGCGAAATCCCAATATTATCATGTCTTCCTCTAAAGTACCTTTAATTTGGTTTATTATAAATAATAGCTATTTCTCATAGCTAGGAGTTATGAAAAGATGCTAAATATAACTTTTGAAAGAATTTGATAGTTGAATATGAGAGAAAAAGAGAAAAATACATATCCAAGCCGAAAATGAATATCCGGAAATAATAGTCAATAGCTATAATCTATAGCTCTAATATATCGAAAGTGGAGAATTAAAAAAAAGAATATCTAATATAGAAAATTGTAGAAGGTAATGGAGAGTGGCAAAAAAAATATAAATAATAATTTCTAAAAACTAAAATTATTCTACGTAAATCACGTGTTTTCAAGGAAATTAAATGGAATTTTCTTACTAAATGTAAACTTTTAACATTTTTTTTTTAGTTGAAAAAGTATTTAAAATCCATGGATTCAAGGCAATAACACTGTTTAAGATACTATTTCATTATACTTGTGTGAAAGGAAAAGTGAAATATAAAAATATTTCATGGATATGTTTATAACCTTAAATATATTTACTGTAGTTTAATAACTCTAGATCTGATATTATATTTAATTAATTAGGTATCTATCGTCCATCGTCCGAAAAATCATCATTTAACCTTTTAGAAAATTAAATTAGTAAATAATTTGATGAATTTTCCCTTAGTAATATTCCAACAGTATCCACTTCCAATTAGTGTAACAACTTTTGACCTATCTATGGCAGGCAATGCAAATCTTTTAATTCCATTTTACTAAACTTCGCAATGAAAAATAATTATTTAATAACTAATAGTCGTACAATCCATCATCAACAGATCGTACAACCCAAAATCAACCAGTGATATAATGGTATTTTCTTTCTACTTCTGTTATTTTAATGGTATTTATGATTTGTTAGCTGTAATCTTTTAGCTTTAGCTCGGTTAAAAATGTAATTCAAAATTGTATAATAGCCCAACATGGCCAGACAATAATTTCTATACAAAGTTGAGCGGTAAGTAAAAGTTGTGTGTTGCGCATGCACATCTGATTTTTATTTTCATACAAAACAAAATTCCAATATTAATTTTGTAAACTCCCTAAAAAATATATATTTACTGACTCAGGCATAAATTGAGGTCAAATTTTTCAAAACTAAGCATTCAGGAATCTCAACACAACATACTACTTTTTTTTTTTTCAGCGGACAGAAATCAATTGTCACACAAAATTACTAAATAGATGTAGGGAATTTTCCTTGGATGCCAACAATATACTTCTTTATCTATTGGTAAACTTCAAAAGATCGTTTAATTTTATATTATTTTGTTTTAAGCAACCATTTTCTTTTAAAAAATATGTATCATTCAAATTTCAAAAAATACCAATATTGAAGAAGTTCAATAATATAAAATCATTCCAAGGTTTTAGTAAAAACAAGATTTTGATATTTCTTGATGTTCCGTTAAAAATCGTAAAAAAGATCCAACAAATGAAGATGATGTTTCTAGATAAAAAACTTATTGTTAGCATATTTAATTTATTGCAACTCCTAAAATGATAAAAATTAATGACATCAATCCCGAAATCCACCGTTGAATAATGGCAGCAAACAGATGCTACTATGGACTCCAGTGACACCTCAAGTGCAAGAATGTATCTAGGACCACCAAGGTGATAACCACCAAATGGATTTCATGGCTGTACAGAATGCTCATTAGAGCTGTACAGACATATGGATCGGAATGTTGGACCCTTCCCAGAACTCAGGAACTGGCTCAGGCAAGATTTGAGCAAAAAATACTCCGCAGAATCTATGGGGCTGTAAGTCTCTGGAGGGATACTGACATTGTTAGTTTCAATGAGTTAGGTCAGCTGCGGTGGGCAGGACACCAGAGTGAGAATGGCCGAGGACCAAATCCCGAGGAAGGTACTGGAGGAACACCTGTGGGAACGGAGATAAGTAGGCAGACCCAGATTCTCAGTCTATACTGGCCATCCATAACTGGAGAGCAGCGGGGCAAGGAAGAGATGGCTGGCAGTCAACGTCGCGGTGGACTTGCTCCCTCGCGGAGTGTAGTGCCACTAAAGAAGAAGGATATGATAAAAAATTACCAGAAGTTGAGCGTCAAAAATCAATTTTCAAACCATTTTTCTTTTTATGAAAAGAAGTATTATTAATTTCTTGTACAGTGGGTAGATGTTCAATAGAATGTCAATTAGAATAAACATCTGAGAAAGAGTTGGTCGGGGGGTGCGATCAAATAAATACTAAACCTTAAATAGATAGTATTTTGTAATGTTTAGTATTAATTTTTCAGGTTTAGTATTTATTTTTAAGGTTTAGTATTTATTTGACCGCACCCCCCACCAACTCCTTCTCATATTATATCACGGTCAACCATCACTACATCATTAGAATAAACATCATTCAGATTACTTTGTTTTAGCATAAAAGTTATTATTTTTTTCAAGAACAGTAGAATAAGGGGTACAATATTTGTTAACAGATCAGACTGAAATGATTTTTTTATTTCCCTCACTTTCTCAGAGTTCTGGACCACTGTGCACTCTTTACTTTAATATAATTAGATAAGCATAAAATATCACTACTTTTACAATAATAAATCTTCATCTTGTAGTAAATTTAAGAAAGTTTGTTCTCATTAATTAACTAATATTATTTCCAAAAGGTATTAATGATGGTTGTTTTTATATAAATACAAAAATATCATTTTGCATTAAAATAGGTCAAATAACAGAAAACATCATCACATGATTTATCAATCGAAGATTAATAAATTACTATTTTAAAAAAAGAGTTCAAGATCCCCATAAAGACATTATGTATTTTAAAAATTAAGTTACTTTTGCTTTAAATTTTAGCAATTATATTTATATACTGTAAAATATTTTGTTTGATATGCCTGTTTTCTCCAATTTCGGACAGTCATCAAATTTTAACCAAGCAAATGAACAATGTGATTTGATTCACCATAAATTTCCTAAAACATAATGTAACTATTTTGAATTCCCGATTTTTAACTTCACTCTCATTGGAGATATTAAAGTCTCAATTTGAAAGAGATATTTAGAAGATATATTTATCTTGGTTGACCTATTATTGGGCATCTGTCCATGATGCAAGAGGAAAGTGGTTAATAGTACTCCTTAAACAGAAACTGTTTTGAAATGAGTTTTTTTTTTTAAATTTCAACAATAAACTTCAGATCAACTTATCATTCTAGGAGTATAAATAAATTAAATGAGCTAATAATAAGTGTTTTCGTTTGAAAACCGCAAATGTTTATAATTACTGAAATTGGCTTATACAACTGAAGAAAAATGGATGCCATTTGTGAAAAGTCAAAGAAAAAGAAAAATCATCAACACTTTATCTCTATAAACAAACATGAAGGAATCAATATATAAAATATAATAAAAATTAAAAATAGTCAAGCAACCACCATTGGAACATTTCAACTGGATTGAATAATTGATATCTAAACAAAGTTAAAGGCTGTAAAAAAGGAGATAGACAAGGAATTCCAAAATGAGATAGAATGCATTATAAAAGAATTTTAAAAGGAGATGCAGTTTAAGTTTGCATGATATTTATGAAGTAAACTTTAGAAAATAGACCTTTCTTGCTTGTGCAGGACAGGTGTATCTCTACCTAGAAAATTTGTTTCTGACATTCATAACATTAGTCTAACAACTGACCAAAACATAACATTTAAATTTAATTAGAATAGTCATACAAGAATAGTTTTTTAGAAGAGCTTATTGATTACAGGAGTACTAAATCATATAAATTAATATTTGTCTCAAGAATGTTAATACTGATTTATCAACTTATTTCTTCCACTAGTAGCTAATTGAAACTTAAAAATATAACAAAGGAATGCCAAATTCCAGATCATCATTAAATATATATTCATACAAACAATAATTCTCATGGAAAGTTTTTCATAATTACATGAGAAATGAGAACTCTCCATTAACTAGGTGATAATAAATTCTAAACTTACAGTATTATTTCCATTCTTGTTGCCATTGGTTTCAAGACTAAACCACTGTCTGCTTGCGTCGTAATTGAGAGCACAAATCTTTGAATCTGCCAAGGAACTTCCAAAACGTATCAGTTTGAAAATTCGTGAGTAAGTCTGAAATAAAACCAAAAATAGAATTAAATAATTTTAAAATATATATATTGAGTGTCCCATAAGTAGAAGGAAATATTTAAAAGATTGATAGTAGAAATCAAGATCTACAAAAAAGTTCATACAAACAATTCCCCAATTTTCAAAAGGAGTGTGTTAAAAAATAAATGAAATGTATTAATAGACAATTACATTTATTACAATATATCCCATGTCACAGAAAAACGAGAAATAAAAGCTTTGCAATAGTTAATTGTAGTATTCTTTGCAGAAAATATGGGTACTTAAAGGTGACTGGATAGGAAATCATATCATTGCTCCTTATAACTTGAGGTGTATCTGAAAATCTTTCTTAATAAACCACAACTTAATTAATATAGACTTATTAAACTTAAGCTTATTAAACAAGGAAGTTTTTCTAAAAGTGGGGTAAATGTAGTACAGTTGAAGGTGATTAAAAAAGAAATCACAAATTTATGACTTTTTTTTAAACAGAACTTGTCCGTCCAATAGTCCTTTAGTAGTTTTTTAAAAGTCCTTTAGTAGTTATAACAATGGCAGAATTTACTTTCTTTTAAAGCAAACTTTGTCTAGTTTACTTACTTAGAATGGAATAATGTTTAGTAACTGAAATCAAATATTTTTTAGTTTATCCCTTCTTATTCAACAAAAAAACGCGACTCGCTTAAAAAAAACAATACAAATGTTAAATGTCCTACTTTTGGTAATTGGGCAACTGTTTGTATGAACTTTTTTGTAGATATTGATTTCTAGTATCAATCTTTTAAATACTTCATTACACTTACGAGACACCCTGCATACTTGGGAAACTCTGTCAAAACAGAACAGCAACTCTGTTTTTTATAATAGACTGAAGAAAATAGTTAGAAACCTCAGACTTATAAGGGGCACTCAGTGAGGACATAATAGAGACAGGACTAGGAAAAACAGCTATGAAAAGGACAAGATTTCCAGAGAAATGGAAAACCAATAAGTTTTTTATGAATAAAGGTAGTGGAGCAAAGAAGGAAGATATAAGTCCTCTGCATAGCCAAAACTGATAAAGCAATACTGCATAAAAACAAATAAGATGGTAAAATCAAAAAAAGAGAATCCCTCAAAGGCTGCAAGCCATACCGGAATATGAGAAATACACACCAGTTTAGGAAAGAAAGAATTATAATCAACTTATCCTATTCAATCTATCCTCAACAATATCTTCACCATTACAAGAAAAAGAAATCAACTGCAAACAAAAAGCATTGCAAGCTTACAGCTTTAAAGTAAATCTAGTAAATAAGCATATAATTAAACATTTCTCAGTATCTAAAAATAACACAGTCAAAGGCTTCTAATTTAAGGGAAAACTAAAAATGAAAGGCATGAAAGGACCTCATTCAACAAGAATTTGATATGTATGTCACATATTCTGGATGTAAAAATATCTATAGGCAGGATTAAGAAAGGTTCCTGAGAAGGACTGCAAACTATGTGAGCTTGTAGTTTAAAGCATCTAAGATAGAAACTACAACACATAAATCAGAAAATCAGAACAAACGTTCAGAACACTAGCCAAATTTGATATATTGAAAAATAGTGAGACTAAATCCTTAATGCAAGAAAGATTATAATTTATAGATCTTTTAATAAAATGAGCCATATTATGTCTCATTATTGTTATTATTATGGTAGCTTGTACTTTGTTGCTAAATAGTGAGCTTGATGACAGTCATCCATCACAATCCAAAACTGTCATCACCACCTATGATGATGACATGTATATCCCATCAGTTAATAACGATCCATCTATTGCATCCCAAACTCTTCAATCACACATCACAAGCCTTGAAAAATGGTGTCAAAACTGGAGGATTAAAATAAATTCTAATAAATCTCATCAAATTACCTTTACACTTCGTCGTAACCTATAACTTCCTGTCCTACAGTATCCTTTAATAATAACCCACTTATCCCTGTTGAACAAATCCGATACCTAGGACACCAACTGGACAAACGACTCACTTGGAACCCCCATACCAGACTGAAATGACTAGAAACCGCCCAACGTTTTCGCCTACTGCAGCACTTGTGGTCTAGACCTCAGTTCAGAGCGTATGATAAAAGTTCAGTCAGTTTATAGTTAGTGATTTTCGCAGTTTTTAGAAGGAGTTCGGTCATAATTTTTGGTTAGAACCAACTATTAATCGTGTTATATCCACAGACAGGAAAGATTCTTCAATACAACGCCGTTTCACGTCAGAAGAAGAAAGGAAAAATCATAATTTTAGTCGGCTTAAGGTATTTATTGCAGGCATTCTAGATAAGAATATAGGTGGGGAGCGCATGCGCATAAATAGGACTAGGTACTAGATATCTCAGTGTTTCCAGTGACTAGGTTGGGGTAACGTCAATTTTTTACCACGTTACTTACGTAATTTTTTTTTTTCTCTTTCTTCTTTTCTTTCGCTTATCAAGATGGTTTTATGCCCAATCTGTAAACAGACCATAGCAAGAGAAGAAAAAAAAACAATGGCATGCACTGTCCCAACATGTCAAGCCATTTTCCATGGAAAATGTCTAAACGCAGACGAGAGTGAGTTTGAAGCACTGAGGGCATTACGAAAAAATTGGGAATGCCCGAAATGTGAAAAGGCACGGAAAAATATCCAACCGACAGACAAGTGTCTCAGCCCGCCAAGATCGGCGCCACAACAACAAACTGTCGACAGCACGTCACAACTGCTACTTGCTGCCATTAAAAATTTAACAGAAGAGGTCAAGGGATTAAAATTCTCCCTCGATGCCAATGCTAACGAGGTGAAAGAATTAAAAATATCTCTCGAAAAGCAAGCATCCATAACTTTTGAGAATGCGGCGAAATTAGACTCTATAGAGTCACTACTGGAGGCTCAAAATTCCAAGATTGACGGACTGGTCTTGGAAAACACGACTCTCAAGTCTCGGGTCTCGGAGCTCGAAATCAGGCTCAATAAAAGTGAGCAACTGCACCTTTCCAGGTCAATAGAAATAAGAGGAGTCCCAGTGAGATCTGGAGAGACCCCGATGGGCCCGGTTATGAGCGTGGGGGCGGGCCTGGGCCTTAGTCTAAAGGTGGAGGACATTGACTATGCAGAACGGATAAGAAACAGGCAAGACGATACACCTGGGCCGCTTGTGGTAAGGTTCGTCCGGCAGTCGCTTAGGGATGAGTTGATCCAGAGGCGAAAAGTCATTAGGGATTTTTCAACACGTCACCTCGGATGGCAAGAAAATGACGCCCACAAGATCTACCTGAGCGAAGCTATGTCCGTAACCAACAGACACCTGTACTGGCTGGCCCGGCAAAAGAGGTCTGCAGGAAAAATCAGGTACAGTTGGTTTAGCGCAGGCAAGGTGAAATGTCGACGAGACGATGGACAGCAGGTCGTCGTCATCAACTCACCATCAGATTTAGAAACATTTGCTTGACATGCATATACATGTTACAACACTTTGAACAATTTTGTTTTTACTTTTTTATATCCCCAGTTTTATGTTTTTGTTGCGTTTGTTTTAATAATAGACTATGATAATAATTTCATTTTTGTTTATGAGAATATTTTAGGTCTGATCTGTCCAGAAACTCTAATTTGTGTATTTTTTTTCTTTTGCACAATAGGAATATGCTTTTCGTTAACTAAATTTTATATTTTTTGTTTACCATCCTTATTAATATCTAGGAGATCTTGCACACAATTGGCTCTAGCTGCTGTAGAAATATTCCTATCCTTAACTCCTTCTGTCCGTTTACCAAGCCACCCCTCCTTCTTCCATGACTAATATCCTTCTAACCTGCCACGTCAACGCTCAGTCACTCTTAGCCCATTTTGATGAATTTTACGACTTTTTTCTCCATAACTTCTACCATTTAATTGCCGTATCCGAAACCTGGTTGAAACCCACAATCCCGTCCTCCCAGATCCTTCTACCTAACTATACTCTCCTTCGTCATGACAGAGTAGATCGCACGGGTGGTGGAGTAGGTCTCTTTGTCCATGACAGTCTCAAATCCAAAATTCTTCACTGCTCTTCCATAACCGATTCTCCGCACGTTGAATACCTTTTCGCCGAAATCCTCACCACCTCATCTGCCATTCTGTTTGCTGTCATATATCGCCCTCCTAGAATTCCTTTCGATGAATCACTTGAGACTTTATTGTACAACTTAATCCCTTCCTACTCAAACATCATCCTCTCCGGTGACTTTAACACCAATTTACTGGCACCATCCTCTGATTATTCCTACCTAACAAACCTCTTTAATTCTCTCAGCCTTTACATAGTACCCTACAATCCAACCCATCATACTCAGTATTCAGAGTCCTGGCTCGATCTAATTATCCTGGATTCCTCAGACAAACTCCTTGCCGCATCTCAGCACCCGGTTCCGTTTCTATCTTCCCACGATCTTGTCCAGATCTCTTACAATGTCCCTGTTCCATCCTTTTCTCCCCGAACAATATCCTTCCGAAACCTAGATTATCTCACTCACGAAACATTGTCAGAAGGTCTTGACGATATCCAGTGGGATCCCATCTACTCCTCAAAATCCATAGACACCATGGTAGAAATCCTAACCACTCAACTTCACTCTATCCTCGACCGACATGCTCCTCTTATCACAAAAACCATCCGATATCCTCCAGCTCCTTGGCTTACCCCTGCTTTGAGGGAGTGTATGAGAGAAAGAGATGCTGCAAGGCGACGGTTTAAACGAACTCGACTTCCTGATGATTTTCTCTCCTACAAACAGCTTCGAAATAGCACTCAATCAGCAGTACGCCGTGCTAAATCCCGTTACTACCATCATTCCCTATCCAACTCTCCCAATACCAAGGCTACGTGGGCTATTCTTAGAAAACTGACCATTGGTAATACACCCCAGTCTCAGTCCAATTCCGTTTCTGCTGATAACCTCAACGCTCACTTTGTCTCCTGTCCTCTTGCATCCACATCTCCCACGTCCAGTCTGGCTCCTATGTTCTCTTCCTTTAATCCTGATCACTTCTTTCTTTCCCATATTACACCAGATGAGCTCCTTAAATCCATTCAGAAGTCCCATACCAATGATTACGGTCCCGACAACATCCCAGTCAGACTGATTAAAGCCGCATTGCCATCCATTCTTCCGATCCTTTATCATATATACAATTATTCTCTTCAAAATGCTACCTTCCCTACATCCTGGAAAACCGCCCTAGTACGCCCATTGAAGAAGACTTCAAACCCATCAGTTCCTAATGATTTCCGACCGATTTCCCTCCTTTCAAACCTCTCAAAACCATTAGAGCGGTTAGTCCAATCCCAGCTATCCCATTTTTTAGAGGACAATAATCTCCTAAATCCCTACCAGTCTGGATTCAGGCCTGGTTATTCTACTCAGTCTGCCCTAATCAAAATTTCCCAAGACCTTCACACAGCCATAGATCAGCAGAAACTAACCATCCTTATTCTCCTAGACTTCTCCAAAGCTTTTGATTCAGTAGACCACAACATCCTCCTAACCAAACTTAAAAATATCTCTTTTTCTTCTAGTTCCCTTAATTGGTTCCAATCCTTCCTAACCGGTCGCTCCCAGTACGTTGTAATTCCTAATAACCCACCATCAGAATCTCTACCTCTGACCAGAGGCGTCCCACAAGGCTCTTCCTTATCCCCCACCCTTTTCTCCATCTATATAAATGACCTCCCATCCTCTATCCTGCACTGTCATTACCACCTGTATGCCGACGACATTCAAATTTACCTCTCCTTTAATCCGACAGATATCTCAGATGCCACTCAAAAACTTCAGGAAGATATTGACAGAATAAGTGCTTGGGCAAACCTCAATAGGCTCACTCTGAACGCCGAGAAGACAAAAGCCATCTTGATCGGATCCCCTTCACTCCTCAAATCCTCCCCAGTATCTCCCAATCTCTTCCTGAACAACTCACCTATCTTATTCTACACCACCGTTAAAAACCTAGGTGTTACTTTCGATCAATCCCTATCCTGGAAACCTCACATCTCCCAAATTTCCCGTCGCACTATCTCCACCCTAAAACAGTTCAATCGTCTACGATATCTCCTTCCATATAAGTCCCGTCAACTCCTAGTTTCCTCCCTTGTTTTCCCCCACTTCGACTACGGCTGTATGGTGTACGGCGGACTCCCGGGAGATTCCGAGGCCAAACTTAAACGCCTAATGAATTGCGCACTACGATTTGTTTTCGGAATCTCAAGGGATACGCATATTACCCAGTATTACACTGAGTTGAGGTGGCTCTACCCATCCTATCGCCGTCAGTACTTCCTAGCCACCTTTCTGTACCAAATTATTAGAACCCATCGACCCTCCTACATTTTTCACAGCTTACAATTCAAATATTCCATCCAATCCCGTCCCACCAGATCTCGTACTTCCGACCTCTATCCTCCTCCTCACCGAACTGCTGCGTTTGACAAATCCTTTGCAATACAAGCCGCCTCCCTCTGGAATTCCATCCCACCTGATATTCGACACGCTCAATCAGTTTCCTCGTTTAAACCACTCCTCTTTAAGCACCTACTCCTTTCTCAATCCGAATGATTGTGAAATATATCTAAGAGAAATATCTGAGCACCACCAGAGACTACCTCAATTTATTAAGATTATTTTAGTTTCTCATATATATGTACAATTTACTTGTTCTCTTCTTTCTCTTTTCTGTATTTTTATCGTAAGTCAACTTTCATTGTAAATATACAATTCAATTGTAGCCACACAGACATATAATCTGTATTCATATTTTGTTCTTAAGGGACAACAGTCCCAGAATAATAAAACATTTTTTTCATTTTCATTTTTCATTTCACTTATTAGACAAACACTCTAAACTTCCAACTACTTAAAAAATACTCAAATATATTACTATAATAAGGCCTATTGGGACTTACAGGATCGAGCTTTGGGGCTCTACTAAACCATCAAATTCCTCTCATATCCAATCCCTACAATCCAAAATCCTTCATAAAATCCTCAATGCTCCCTACTTCGTCACAAATAATAACATTCATAACGAACTTAATGTACCATATGTTTCCAATTTAGATCCATCCAGATACCTATCCTTCCATAATAAACTTCTGAACCATCCGAACTCTCTTGTTTCCAACCTTGCTTCCTCTTCTACCCCTGATAACCCTCCAAAGCATCTAAAAACAAGATGGCCTCGGAACCTTCTAATAAAGAAATATAATTGGAGTTCCTCTTCATATTGAACATGTCATGTTACTTGTTTGATATTTACTTGTTGTATTCATCATTTAATACAGTTTTAAATTTCAATAATTAAAAAAAAAAAATAGTGAGCATGAAATTTTCAGTTTACCTATCGTTATAAATGAATTTAACTTATCTCTAGAGAACGTGATGGACAAGCACATTGTAGGTCCGATTCCAACTTGAAACATTCAACATTTATTTCTTGGAGGCTCCTGGAAATGAACCTTGATATTCCAACTCTGGTAAGAGTTTGAGTATGCTGAGGCATACTCAAGGTACGGTTCGGCAAAAAGAAACACTAGTCTTCCCCTCCCCCTCAATAGCAGTATAAGTACCAATAATTTTTCTCTGAGCTTATTACTTTTAGAGTTCTTCCCCAATTTAAAGAGATAAAAAAAAAGCAATATTGATACTAATTAAAATGTACTATTACATTTTGTACACTAAGTTGAATATTATCTATAGTAATATAACTTTAATCAATCAAATTTCTATAACTTTTCAATACAACACATGAAATGTATCTTTATTTCAATGACATCCTGAATCATAACTCAGTATCTTTTTAACATTATTTGAACATAAGATGATGTAACGATTTACGACATTAATGAAGCTTACTAGATAAATTTTAAACATAACTTCAAAAGAAGACATCATACCAGTCTAGGTGCCTAACACAACACTCTCCTCAGTAAGAATGATATCGTGACTTTGGTAATTAAAATCTTTGAATGAATAATCACAGAGTTTCACCAAAATGTTTTGTTATACATACTGAATAACAAAAATATTGTATAAAAGCATGCATATAACCCACCCATTACAGAGACATAATACCTCTCTTTGGAACTTACATGATGATAACATAACATAAGTTTTCGATCTGTGAGGGAAAATAACATAGGCAACCAACAAGTAGAAATCAGGAAGATACTCTTCTACAGTACTTCAGATTAAGACACCCTATTTGCTTTCAATACAGGTATCAATCTTTAACATTTCAAACAATTTTTTTTATTGTTTTTTCTCTCTCAGTAAAGGAACTATTAACTGTAAGAAGGCTCCCATTAGTAGAAATTAAAAAAAGTTAGAAAAGCTCCAAATTTGGCCGAATTAAAATCTTTCTAGATCAAACCTAAATACAATTGACCTTGAATATAACATAAGTAAAACTCCAATATAGGTAAAACCCTTATATCAAAGAAGAAAATTCAGAAAATTTGATTGGGTAAAAATGGTATTAATTATAGATCAGGCTCTAGTATTGCATTAGTTAGTCAAGACATCTAAATTAAACAATTATGTTTCTATAAAATTAATATATTGATCATATTGAATACCTCTTCTTCAGGTCTAAGTGCCCGTGTCCTTAAGCAATCCCAATTCAATTTAGCATGGGCCGCTTGCAGACAACTCAACCCTCTCACCGTAACATCTTCTGGCAGCGGGATAGAGCACAAATCATCTTCGGTTAAAATACCTGAAATGAAGTCACAATTAAAATAATTTTTAAAAAAATTTACTTTATCGATGAATGAACAATAAATCATTAAAGCTATCATTACCAAAAATATAAAACTTCACGTCATTATTAAGCCTTCAAATATAATTATTTTTAGTGTTAATTCGGGAACTTTCCTGATAAAGTTTGAATTAGGGTCCATGTTTTAATTAACCATAAAGAAAATAGCCAAGTATTTATTTGTCGAAAGGGATAAATCTAGAACAGAGCTCACTTGGCCCAGAGAGGAAAGCATGGTAAAGAGTAGCTCATTGAATAAATTTCCGTCTTCTCAATAATAACAATGTAAGTGATAATGGCTATTGTAAGAAAGTTAAATATTTGATATAGTTTTTTGTGTAATGTTTTGATTAGATATTGATGGCTTATATAAAAAACATTGTAAATCTAACACACTTTTTATGTTCTTTTTTTTTCTTTTCTTCTTCTCCCCATCCTCGCATTTTTTGTTTTATGGAGCATTTACCTGGCTAGGAAAAAGGGCGGGGGAATTAATACCAAGAGAAAAGTCTTTCAGCAACTCGTACTTCTCCCAGCCACACCGCTCCCCTCTTTCTATATACTTCCTATTGATTTGACCGCCCTTAACCTCCCTTGTATTTCCCCACTTTGACTATGGCTGTTTGGTGTATGGAGGGCTATCTGCTAGGCTATAAATGTGACTGAAGAGACCCATGAATTGTTTCATAAGATACATTTTCGGGATCCCCAGGCGTTCACATGTTTCACTCTGGTACACCGAGTTGAAGTGGCTTTATCCTACTTTCCAACGACAATTCCTCCTTGGTGTTTTCTTTTCCAAGTCTTCAGAACCAAAAACCCTCCCTATATCATGGAACTCCTTACTCTACGCTCCTCTATCCACTCTCTCAATACTAGGTCTCAACCTATAGACTTATATATTCCCTCCCATAAAACTTCGTTCTTCAGTAAATCCTTCGTGCTGCTTCCTTATGGAACTCACTTCCTACCTCCATGCGTCAATCCCCATCCACAAATTCCTTCAAACAACTCCTGTTCCACCACATACTCCACATTCAAACTTCCGCTAACATGTAAAATTATTTGCATCTGTACACTGTTTAATTTCAATCTATTGCACAGTTGAAATAACAATTAACAGTTAATTATTACTAGGGGACACTAGTCCCAGAATGAAATAATTTTTTCATTTCATTTCATTACTAGGTTATTAGAGATAAATCTTATTTATATATATATGCTTTTAAATTTCCATAAAATAGATACTTTCATAACAGAGTTATCCACCATTTCCCAATTGCATACAATCGAGGCATTAATGGACGAATGTATTAAGACATCACCTTAGTATTATTATAATACATAGATAGAAAATTGAAGTATCAATGAGATATATGAGATAAATTTTTTGATCAAACAATAGATTAATTATTATTTATAAACTTTACTCAGTAATGTTTGGTTGATGATTGCATATTTTTTCAGGAAGAAGTTCTACCCCTAATGGGGAAAAATTTCCAAAATATCTACCTTACATAAACATGAAAATTATCTAAATTCTGTATTGTTTTATCAAAGATTTAATACATAACATACATAATAAGACTAATGTTAATTTTTTTATATGAATATACAAGGATCGTCCAGAATATAAAGAATGATTTGGTGTGTAATAAACAAGGCTTGTTATAGTACGCAATTCTATATTTTAATGTAATCGCCATCATTGTGATTAAGATATTAATTGTAAAAAGGTTCCAGTTTTTCAATGATGATACTTTACTCTTAAAGTGTTTTTAGTAGTAGTAGTTTGTAGTAGTTTTGGACCACCAATTTTCCAGAATTTTTTTTCAACATTTTTTTTTACTCATTCCTAATGAATGAAGACCTCTTAATCAGATCTTCATTCTTCACAATCTACACTCTTCTTCCTTGATTTAAACATTATGCACCATCTTTTTTCTTTTTTCTGGGAAGTTGTATGATATTCTTAGTTATTTGGCAATGATTACTTCCAATTAGCAAGAAATAGCCTATATAAGCAAGAAAGAGTCTAATTTGGGCAGACACCCAATAATTAGTCTAAAAGCAAGATGTTGCTCTAGATGTTATATACCTTTATTATAACATGAATTAGAAACTGACGATGGAGCACATTATTTTTAAGCCTTGTAGCAACAAGATCATTGGGATTGTGGTTCTGAAGATGGGAGTAAATATTCCGAAACGTAAACTTGTAAACATACAATTTTGATAATACAATAAATATATTCAATTGTTGCTAATTGGAAGTAATCATTGCTAAATAACTAGGATTATGCACCATTTTCTTACTGAAGATACCTCCACAACGAAAAAACTAGCATGCTTGCAATCGCATAACAGGGCTTCTGTACAGAGTGTGATGAGCAACCGTTCTTTACTTCTAGATGATCCTTATATGTATCTTTTTAAATAGACTTTATAATATTTTTAAATACTTACAATCATCAAATAGATCTTTCAAAGCATCGATACTGGGCACTGCGGAAAGGTGATTTAAAAAATTAACAAGTCTGGAAAGAAGAGGGCCAGTTGTGGACCCACAGGACTTGAGAAAGGCATTGTTGCTCACCAACCAATCACAACAGACCTAAAACAAAGTTAAAAAGCACAAATTGATTAAATTAAGAGGCAATGGGTACTTGGCTGTGACTATTATCAGAGGCACAACAGAGAAAAGATATAATAAAAACAGCAAGAACTATTTTTTTTATTTATTATTCTTGAGAATTATGAAATAAATAATAACAGCAATAAAGTTAGGGACTAATGAAATAAACATAATGAAAGAAGATAACATAAGAAATGAACAATGTTACCGTTATGTTACATATCTAAACTTAACTTCCGCTACTTTCTATTCCCAACTTTTTTATCATTATTTTGTATTTCCTTTAAGTTTATTCTACCTACTTTATTTTACTTTAGTTTATTCTATCTACATTTTTTTAAATTATATCTTTCACCTACATATTATGATTTTTTTATTAATGTTAATACTTTCTAATAAACATTATTATCTGGTTTTTCCTTAGCCCTGATAAAGGCCTGAACTTTGGGCCGAAATGTAAGCAAAAATAAATATATATTATTTATTTTTACATTTTTTTTTACTGAACACACCAACCAATCTTCTCTTCAATTATTCACTACAATCAACCATCAATTCAAAATTACAATATTTTTAGTTTTGTCTGAAAGACTTGCAATTCGGATGTCACAATGATTTAGTAAGAAATTATTTAATTAACTGGTAGCAATTGGTATACATTGTACTAGTAAGTGATTATAATTTTTCATGAAAGTGGGAATATAATAGTTTTGAACTGTTTTTTTAGTTATAATTCGATACTGTTATGAACTAATTTTAAATATTTATTCATATTTCATTCAGATTACCGACACTATCTTTAACAGATTAATGCAAATACTGGGATTTGCTGACGATCTAGATATGATGGCACGTTAATTCGAGTCTCTTTAAAGTGCATTTTTAAGGTTGGCTGAAGCGGCAGAAGCTTTGGGAATGAGTGTAAACCAGGAAAAGACAATGTACATGGGAGGATGACCTGAGACAGAGACCGCTATACGAGTACCGGTGGTTATGGGCCCATTTACGTTCTACAATGTAGATCAGTTTACCTATCTGGAATCTATTGTAAGCTGTGGAAATAGAATATCCCTGGAGGTCAACCAGCGAATAATAAGGTCAAACAGGTGCTATTTTGGCCTCAGCAAACACCTTGGAAGCTCTGCCGTCATACAAAATGAGTCATATATATAAGACCCTTATTAGACCTGTTCTCACATATTGTTCGGAAAGCTAGACCCTCTCTAGCAAAGAAGAAAAAGATTTACTAATCTTTGAAAGGAAGATCCTTCGGCATATTTTTGGACCTGTTAAGGTCGGTGATGATTGGAGAAGGAGGACTAATAGGGACCTATATGATCTGTAATATATCTGGGGAGACAGATGTGTTGAGGTGCATAAAGCTTCTTGGGCAACTACGTTGAGCTGACCATGTGGTCAGAATGCCAGAAGAGGAAGTTGCTTGATGGGAAGCTCTGCAGGACAAGAGGGAAAGGCAGACCACGTCTAAGATGGACGCCAGAAAAGTATGCATACTCACAACTGGCGAGTGACTGCGCAAGATAGAGCAATCTGACGAGGACTCATTGAGGCGGCCAAGGACCACATCGGTCTGTAGGGCCATGGAGTTAGTTATTCATATTTTATAAATAAAGATATGAAATAAAGATACTTGAAAACAATGTCAGGAGCCTATGCTTAAGTAGTATTGAAGTTTAACGGTTCCTTAAATCTGGAACACTTTAAGTTGAAGATGATGAATTATCAATCCCAATTTGTGTCTGAGTAAATGAAACAGTGTAACATGTATTTTTTAACATATATATATATTGTAAACAATATATATTGGGGGAGGGAGAGGAGGAGGGAACTAATGACATTTTCTTACATTAAATTTATACACAAAAATATTCAACAAGTTTTTATTTTTAATCAATGATCTAATCACCCCCATTATCCAGCAGGAGCCATCGGTACAATATTAACATCTGTTAGCTACAATTTAGATTTGATTTCAAAGATTTTTAAAATGCAAGAAACAAAATGGAATCTTATTGAGTTGTACCCTGTTGGTTATGGTTGTGCGATATCACAGACAATTCTTCAAGATCTATTCATTATCCAAACATGGTTAACAATTATTTAAATAAAGAGCATTACCTTAATGGTTTGAAGAATATATCCTTGATTAGAGAGCTTGTGAATGTGCTGAAAAGACTTGTTCTGCGAAACCAACGAGTGAGTCCAAGGCTGAGAGGAATCAGTCAAGTCAGAGAACCCTTTGATTTTACTACTATCGCTATGTTCGCTATGATCATTAATTCCATTTAGATGAATTCCGTTACCTGAGATTGAAGTACAAATAAATATTAAAATTAACAAATAATTAAGAACAATAGAAAACAATGGAGTTATACATAACAAATAAAAATAATAAATTTATAACAGCTAAAACTTGCAGGAGAGGAGATTGTTTTAGAAATATATGTAAAGTAACTTATAATCAAAAAGGAAAGGAAGACATAAGATTGCTCTAAAGTAATATAAATGTTTTACAAGAAAAATAGATTAGAAAACCAAATTCCTATTGTATCCACATAATGAAGATTATTTACAAGAAGACTCAAATATTACATAAATAAAAATCTAAAAAAATTTACTGAAAAAAAAATTTAATAAAGCTATTAACGAAATCTTAAGCTTTGGATAACGTTAAAGAATTTTTTTCAAGTTTTAACTCTGCAAAAAAACTAAACTTTTTAAATATCATCTATTCTTTCTTTAGATATAGGTAGTCGATAGTGATCATACCACTAGCGAATCCAGGATTTAATTTTGGGGGGGGGGGCTTCAGCCCGAAAGTTTTTTTTTCTCATAAAAATAACGATAATTACTTTGGAAAAAAAGAAAAAAGCTAACTACCTATATGAAATGGTGTTTAAGTGATTCCTAAAGCCCTTTTAAATGTAATTACACGAACAATAATACTTTAAGAGATACTTTTTAAATATTTTTTTCGAAAAAACACGGTTATATTTTAGCATTTGGGGGGGGGGAGGGGGCTTCAGCCCGAAAGCCCTCCCTCTCCGTAGATCCGCCCGTGGATCATACTAAATCAAATCACAAAAATTAGTGAAAATTGAAAAAAATACGAAAAATAATATTTTGAGATTGAAGACATGATTTGTTTTAATTTTAAGTTACAGTCAAAACTTACTTGATGTAATAATGTTTTAGCCATTTACAGTTAATTAAGGATATTTATTCTCATTCATTTATTTAATTTTAATATTTAATCTATTTATATTTTTTATCTGTGTTCTTAAAATTATGTTACTTGATATTTGTGCATTCTAATTTTAGCATTCAAATTTTTTTTTAATATATGATGAGAGATATGATAAGGGATGTAAATAATGTATAATGGAGTGTTATGCCCAAACAGGATTGATAAGTATACTGTGTATGGAGCAACCCTATGTATTAGGGAAGAACTGCTTTAAATAAAGTATTTCTTTCTCTAATAGTAATTTAAAAAAAAAAAAGATAATTAACTCATTGAAATGAAATATCAGATAACGAGAAATTACCATTAAGTATTGGTTCTTCATCAGATTCGTGACAATCAAATATAAGATCCTCTTCGCTAATGTCAGAGTCCAAACTGTAAACGGAGTCATTTTCATCTGAAAATTATAAAATATTATATTAAAGAGTTTTTCAGTACATCATTATCAATAAATAGAATAACAATAAATTTACCAACCTTCACTAAGATCTGAAACATGAGAATTATTGATTCTACGCTTCCTTCTTCTACGGAGCGTTTTCTTTTTTCCATTTCCTTTATCAACCGGTTCTAATCTGGGTGGTAAAACGGCTTCGAGTCGTTTCAGAACAGAATTTATCAACTGAGACATCAATGCAAGACTAAGTGCTACTCCTCCCATGGTGTTAGAGGAACCTGAAAATTGTTTAAAAAAATAAGATAATTTTTTCTTTTCGAAACCATTCATAATTCAATAGCAAAAAATTAAATTAAACCAATACCCTTATTTTTCAACTGTTGTATACACATGAATGAAATAATCAGCATTTTAAAAAGGATGTCATCGTTTAAAACAGTGGGTTCAGCAACAGGGCTCTTATTGTACACTGTTATAAGATTTGATTCAATTTCAACAATGCAATTTTCCAGAATTGTTAAGGCATCACCACACATCTGTAACATTTTGAAAACATATAATTTAAATAAACGAAATTACGTAAGATCAATTCTAATACTTTATTTAAAAAATAATCAATGCATAAAATTATAGATTTTGAAAAAGAGATAATATACAATTTAAATTATAGTAAAAATTACTCCAGTTTAGAGAAGGCCAATGCCTATCTATTGCTTGAATGTGGGAATTTTTTATTAATGACAGTACAAATAACAATTCAGAAAGAATAAATATTTTAAATAAAAAAAGTATGTAAACAACTTTAACTAAAAATAGACCATAAAATGCCTCAAAGTAGATATTCTAAAGCATAATAACAATACCAATTTTAATACGTCTTGATATGAGGGACTATTATCACTTAATGAGACAGAAGTTTGTGAACAAAGAGGATGGTTAGTAAAAATATAGATGTTTTAATAAAATAAATTATAACAATAGCTTTTGGTTAATGTGTTGCACTTAACATATTTTTATAAAAAACAAAAGTTTCGACAAGAAGTAACAAAAATAAACAAGTCCTATCTTAGTCTTGGATTTGAGTAACAATTACGCATTATATTAGGAGTATGCATGAAACTTGTGATAAATATGAGCGAATAAACATAAGTTGATACGTTCACTCAAGATAACTCAGGTTTCATTCGGTTATTAGGCTTACGAGCTTATTTTTCTTTTATTTGAATACTGTTCATCACCCAGTGTGTAGTGAAACATTTACAAAAAATTTAAAACAAAATAATCATTTCAAACTTTAAAGGATTTTTCCATAATTATGGATAAAATATTTTTGTCCTCTAGTGCCTTTCCGAATTCCGTTTCTTATAAACCATTTTACTTGAAACAAGAGTAGTAAGCAGGATATGAAAACTCCATAATAACCCACCCGAAATTAACACCAATTTTAATAAACTCTAGACCGTGAGTGCTAGCAACCATATTTCACATACAAAACTTATTTAAATTTTAACTATTAACACATTTAAGAAGTTTACAATATTTAGTACTAGAAGCATGAATTAGAAAAAAAAAAAATTATAATTATAAAATAACCAACCTGCTGAATCTGAGAATGTTGTTTATCAAAAAACATGCTATAAGAAATATGGATAAAGGTAACTAAAAGCTTCTTCACATTAGGTGTAATCTCTTTTCCACGGCTTCGGTTCATTTGCTCCCATATAACAGCATTATTTTCAAACAGATGCTGAAGATTTCCCTCAGCACCATCAAATTTCTGAGCACAGCACAAACTGAAAAAAAAATTTAAATTGTAATTAATAGCAACTATGTCTATAACATATACATAAAAAATATGTTCAGAAAAATTAATGGCACATGGATTCATAAGTTTTTCGCACTACCTTTGTTATAAGCTTTAAAACTCAGTCAAGATTTTTTTTTTTTAATTACTGTCAACCTTAGTTAAACTTAAAACGGTTGAGAACATAAAGGTTCAAGTTAGAAAATAAAATTGGATGTTCTTTATAGTTTTATAAAGAACTCAATATATAAAAATAATATTTCAAGATCAATATCCTTTTAAAAGATGAAACAGTTATATTCAGTTACTTGTAGGCCATAGCTCTCTTAGTGTTAGTTAGCTCTTAAATAAAGAATCTATAAAATACTGAGGGGGGGGGGAGGCAGAGAAGAGGGCTGGTAAATGCAATATGATCGGAAGCCCTTTTCTTGAGTGACAGAACAGTTTGTTACATATTTGTGAGGAAATATTGGAATAATGACTTACAGCTTAAAACAATAAATGATGTTAGTTCTTTTGTTATTATATTAAGCCTTTATCAATGATGGGGCAATAATTTTAGTAGGTTAGTAAAATTAAGAAAAAGTAGCTATGAGAATAAAAGGGGACTGGTCACATGCTGTTAAGAAAAATAACTTATCTCCCATGGTGACGTCACTGATCTCCTGCAGCAGATATAGCCAATGGGCAATTAACAGTTTATAGCTCAAACTATGGGTAAGATGTAGCCAGTGGGCTCTTAAATGGCCCCTCTAGGCTGATGAATTAGCACCTTCCTCGTTGATTTCTTTAGGTAAATGCAGCAGAGGGAGAGATATTGCTGCTTACTTTGGCATATTTTTTTAACTTTATTCTTACATCCACATCTACATAATACATCATTGACAATCAGTGGATTGTCTGGCAAAATTAGAAACAAAATAATAATAGCATCTCAGGCATGAGGAAGAAAAAAAAAAAAAAACTCAGCGGTATCTCTTCCATGGCATAATTGGAAATAAATTTACAGAAGGTCTCTCATCCAGGACCTCTTTAGCTTCCTAATGATGTTGTCAGGCCTGTTAGTAGAGGCCATTCTTAATATTAGATGATTGTCATGTCCCTGCAAATGATCATGAAATCTTTTGTAATGGGTCCGTACGTATTTTTTGGTACGTAAAGTCACATTAGAAACATATCAAAGTGTTTGCATAATAAGACTAAATATTTTGGATTGAAATATTTGGAGTGTCTGTATATATGTCTTTTAAGCAGAACCGAAAATTTGAAAAGTGTAAGATCAAATCAGTTTTAGTAACTATGTGTATGTAGCAAGTTTCTGTCTTAAGTTTTAATTTTGATTGTAGTCTGAGTAATGAGTATAATAGTTAACTTCATTGATTTAAAATTTTGTTTTTTCTTAATGCGAGGGCCTCAAGTCAATCTTCTATCAAATATTAGTCCTAGGTAGTAGACCTTATCTGTTTGCAGTAATGATATGTTACTGAAATGTACAAGAGGACAAGTTTCACATCCTAATGTAAATGTGGCATGTTGGCATTTATCATAGTTTTCACAACATGCACCAAGCTTGCAGTTGGTATAAGTGATGTTGTAACTTTAGTGAGGCTTGTGTAGGGTTTTGGTTTTGGTGTCCCATTATGATTGGAGTGTCACCTTCGGCCTAATCTTGGCAAAAGATAATGTGGCCACCATCAGTAAGGGAGGAGAGGTGAAATAAATGAGACAATAGCCCCAGCTGAATGAGAAACATAATAAATTAATAACATAATAACAACATAATAAATTAATATTAGGATGTAAATCCCTCTACCCCTGGCCCAGAAAAAAACCCCTATACTCTAAAAGTTTCATGTAGCTGAAATTCATTGAAGATGAAAGGTGTCAACGATTTTTTCAAGTAATATTTTAAAAATTAGAAGTTTGTAAGGTCATTATGGGCCTCATGATGCTTCAAAGATTTAAATATCAGCACAACAACTGTCTTAGTAACTTAATTAAATGAATTTTTACATACCATCTCATATAGTAGTAGGCAGCATCGAGACTATAATTTTGGGTTGAAGCAAGAGTGCCTAACTGATTATGTGGGGTCCCACATTCAGGTCTCCAATTCAAAGCCTGAACAAATAAATATAAATAATGAGAAGAGCTTAGCTAGAAAAATAATAACGAATAAACAATAAAATTAATAGTTCATACCTGAGAATAGTATCGCTGGGCAAAGCTATGGTCATAGAATGATTCAATTTCAGAGAGATAGCGGCTAAGGTCTCCAAGATAAATCAGGCATCTATGTAGGGCATGATGTGCCCATTCGAGACCGCCACTTTCAATTGGTTTATTACCCCATAAGTTTTTATCTGTAACATAAAATTCTATTTAGTTAACAATAAGTAGAATTTTGTATAAAACTAAAAAAACGTTGAAACTAAAATACAATATAAAAAAAAAACCTGCACCACCACAACCCATGAAGGGTCTTGGGTTCAGTACTGTGTTGGGAAGTACTGTTTCTGGGTCAACCGTTGTGCCAGGAGGTGATTTGACCGTGTTCATGTTCAACTGCCAGGTTTTCCTTCTTAATTGATTAATTAATTAAGAGTACCCATTTTATAGAGACTAGGTGTACAACATGAGCGCCTCCTGACCCAAGGGTTGATCAATGGCCAATGAATAAGAACAAATAATTTATCTGCCATCAGCTGGATTCAAACCTGCGACCTTGAGTTCTGGAAATCAGTGCTCAACCCACTGGGGGCGGGGAAGCCAAGCAGGCTAACGTGTATGCATAGCACTGTGTGTTGCCCAGCAGCCTGACAACCGAAGTTAAGATAGACACATAATTATAATAATATAATTAGTTCAAATCCCAGTGCCCAATGGCTACATTACCATAATCATACCCTCTCCCTCTCCTCTCCATGCCGGAAAAACAAAAGGGAACAAAAAAACACTATGATACAAAAAAATAAAGTGGCAAACCCACTGTGCTACCCCACTCGGTAACACATATATACACTTAAAATTTTTAAAATATTCATGACTTATAGAATGTTAATGTAATCGTTAAAACATGCCATTTTAAATTCATTATAAGCCTAGTAAAGATGAGATAGTAAAATTTTATGAACTATAGGTGAGCTGAGATAAGTCAAGCTAGCATAGAAAGTAATATAAGTAATGAAAATATTTGCTTTGTTTCAATAACTTTCTACAAATGTGCATGTAGCAAAACCTGTAATGAATAATTGACCGATTCTAGTGTAAATGGTAGTTTCAGGAATTACTTTAGCAAGCATTAGTAAATATAACTATAATATATAAACAATAATTAAATAAGCAAAAATATAACGTTAAACTGTAAGCATGGCCCAATTCTCCAACACAATAAATGTTTATCAATATATTGGGCTGTCAAATAAGTCTTTTCAGTTTTTCTGTTTCATTTTTATGTCACTATGATACACACACTTCCTATCTAATGAATTAATCCCTAAGGTGGATTGTTTATCCAGTTTGTAATATATCAACAACTATATCTGTAAACTCTTGTTGAAAATAGTTTAGTATTGGGTTTGCCATTGCACTATGAATATGGAAGAGAATATCATTCATTATCAGCATATTTTGTTGTATTGTTTTAAAAAAGGTAAGCGTGCTCCAGAAGCTCATAGACAAATTTGCAGTGTTTATGGGGATGATGCCTTAACTGAACACACCTGTCAAAATTGGTTTGCCAAATTTCATTAAGAAAATTTTGACATCAATGAAAATGAAGCTCAACCGTCTGGTCACCCACATGAAATTGAAATGAGCAATGTTAAGGCCATTGTTGATCAAAAACCCTCCCAATCAGTGAGAGAGATTGCTATGGCCCTAAATGTGTCACACACAAGCCTAGAAAACCATTTGCATAAGCTCGGCTATGTTTGAGTCCCTCACTCTCTAACCGAAGTCAACTTGGCAATACGCATTTCTGCTTGTGATTAAACTGCAACAAAACGACCCATTTTTGAAAAGTTTGGCAACAGGAGATGAAAAATGGATATTTAATGATATTGTAGTCCGCAGAAAATCTTGGGGACCTAGTAGCGAGGCTACTACAAAAATGTCAAAACCCGGATTGCATCCAATGAAGATCATGCTTTCCATACGGTGGGATTTCAAGGGTTTTATTTTCTATGAGCTATTGTGATCAGGACAAACAGCATTGATTTAACTCTATACTGCTCACAATTAACAAAATTGGATAAATCAATTAAAAATAAATGCCCAGAATAAATCGGCAAAAAAATGGCAAATAGAGAGAGTGTTCTGTTCCACCAAGACAACGAACGCTAGGGCCCACAACTCATTGGTCACACAATAAATTATTGAGCCTAGGATGGGATATTTGGCCCCACTCTCCCTATTCACCAGACCTAGCTCCAAGTGGCTACCACTTATTCCGGTCTCTGCAGAACTTCATGGATGGAAAGAAATTCCAAAAGGAAGAGGACATCAAAAACCACTTGGATCAGTTTTTTAACAATAAACTCCAGACATTCTATGAACATGGCATTATGCCGTTAGTGGAAAGACAGAAAAAGTCATATTAAATAATGATTAATATAATGTAGATTAAAATAAATTTTATGTCTATAATACATTGAGTTTTATTTCACCCTGAAAAACCGAAAGGACTTATTTGCCAACCCAATATATCATATAGCTTCAAGACCTCCAGGTCACAAAACCAGTCAACCACTCTTCTCAAGTAACTTATTCATTTCCTAAGGGCGTTTACAACAGTTTGTATGATAAAAAAAATTTTGTCAGAAATTTATTTACTTTCAGGCTCTGAACTTACATGAAGATGTAATTAAAATTGGTCATAACCATTAATGTTTTATTACTATTAGTACTAGATTAGAATTTCAAGTAATTTTATTCAATTCATTTGATTTCATCAATCAAAGGAATTCATATAATTCTAACCGACTGTAGGCAGTTTTCACAACCTAGTAGAAAATGGATTAATGCTTAAGATTTAGTATACCTTTTTTTAATCCACAATCAGTAACAATCAGGGGGAAGTCTACTATGCCACGAAGATCCAGTCTAAAATAGGATTGAATCTTCATGATCAAATGGTGATAGTAGCCAATCCCTGATTGAAGGTGACATTGCATCAAACTGGCATCCTGTAGGTCCATTTTATTATTCTAAAAAAAAAAAAAAAAAAAAATAGTAATAATAATAATAAATAGATACATTATAAATTGGAGAAATACTTATGAAAACCTTAATTAGTTAAACAAATCATAAATATTTCAAAATTGATCTTTATGCAGAAAGTGAAAATAAAATAATGATTTTTCACAATTCGTGTTATGTAAACATAGTAGTTCTAAAACACAATCTTGTATTTCAAGGACAGCATTTAAAGATTAGAAAATATATACAATATAACCACTAATTAAGGTTCTCTTGATTAAAGCTAAATGTTTATTTCAAATAATATTTCACCATTCATTCATTCATTGAAATTAAGTCATTATCCCTCCCTCCCCTCCTAAGTCATCTTAGATTTTGTTTTTTCTTCCTTGTTTCTTTGGGAAGGAGAGAAGGAACCAAACAATATCAAAATAGCTTATATCATGAAATTTTTGTTGTCAAATAATTCATACAAAATTATTTTAAAATTAAATAAATACAGTTGAAGCATAATTAAATAAGCAATCATACATTTATTCATTCATTCATAATCACTCATTTGTCTTCATTAAAGAGAGAGGAGAAAGACCTTAAAACGAAAGCTTTATTTGGAAAAATATTAGAGTTTTTAGAGCTATAAGATTTCCTATAATTGGTAGAGAGGGACGTATAACTAACAACCTTATAAAACATAATAAAAACGAAACAATCATGAATTCTTTTAGTTTTCTTAATTGAAATATTCACCGAGATGCTTTTAATCAGTGGTTGAAATTATTTGTTTCACAAACTCTTACAACCAGATTAAAAAAGTGAAAGTGATATTCTAATACAATTCTAAATGAATCAATTCGTGAGTTTGACAGATATTTCTGAAACTGTTAAAGTTCAGACAATATGACTATAAGACCTTCAATATTTATTTTAACAACAAGCTTCTATCAATACATAGTAGTCCAGAAAAATCATTCTTTTTTTTTTTCAAGGGTTCTTGTAATATGGCTGAACAATAAATAGCCATACAGAGTATAACAATTTATTAAACTGATCTGACGATCTACAATCTGAAACGATATATAGGGTGGCATGCAGTCATTCCTCCATCTCCATTTAAAGATCAAGTAAGAAAAAGACTTTTATGAAACTCAATAAAAAAATACACCTTTCATCCAACTTGTTAATCCTTCTTCCCTTAAACAATGGCGGGAAAATGTATTAAAGTATCGATTGAGCATCAAGTAAGTAAAATAAATAACAGGACTGTTTAAATTTACAATGACATTTTTTTATACACTCATCTCTGCAATTTGACTGAAAGAAGCCTTTTTTCATAGAGTTTTAAAAAATATTCCTTTTTGACGATGCCTACAAATGGAGTTGGAGGAAGAACTATGTATACCATTTATACAGTTCGACAATTTATTACTAAAAGATATAAAATAATAATAAAGAAAATCTATAAGGATTACTTACCTTATTCAAACGCTTTGAAGTGGCAAAAACCTCATAATAGCCTTTTCTCCAAAGCAGATCTTCAGCTTTTTTACCATAACCAACAGGATCAATAAACATGAGTTTTTCACAATAATCTTTAAGTTTTATCTGTCAAAATAAATTTAAAAACTAGTATCAATTATTAAAATATATACATAACTAATTGGCCCTGAAGTAATAATTTTTACAATTTTTGGCTAAGGGCTTCTATAGTTCATTTGATTGCTTTTAAAATATTGTACTAAGAATATACCTAATAAAAATCATACAAAACTTAATGTAAAAGGCACTGCATCGATAAAGTAGAGATTTTAGATATTTAACAAATCAGAGAGAAAAAAAATAATGAGGAAAGAGATGGTCCGGAGTGACAGTTATAAAAAACTTAAAATAGCGGAAAAACTATTTTATTTTAAGCCAATGTTTCGACCCAACTATACAGGTCTTCATCAGGGTTAGAACGAACAAGATACCAAACATATAGAAAATTGTAGGAATAACAAGATATTTTGATAAAATTATAAAGTGTAAATTCAGAGTATCAAAGTATTATGAACATTAAAATATAAATAGAATAAATGAAGTATTAAGAACATTCAAATATAAAACTAAGTAACCAGAAACACAAATAAAATTGGTAACAATAGGTGAAGATAAGAAAAAATTGAATACAATAAAGAGGATGGATGACATGCCTGATCTATATTAATAAAAACATAAATGTTTGTTTGTTTGTTCAAAACTGCTAATCTCTGAAACTTCTTCACCGATTGCTTTAAAATATTGACATAATGTTCTATCGGATTCAGGAGTATTTTTTATGCACATTTAATAACCCTCCAGTCTTTCGTTTGGGAAAGAAGGGCGAAAAACCTGTGTCATAATATAATGTAGCACCTAACTATGTAAACTTAATTAAACTTGGCTAAAGTCTTCTCCTTGAAGCATTTTCATTTTTCTATACAACATCCCTCTCCGAATAGAGTCTAAAAAGAAGTTACAACGGGTTCAAAACTATATTTGTGAATAATTCAAAAAGTACACAATTTTTGTTTGATTATACCCATCATTATTTAAAAGCTTTCTTGATTCCCTGCAAATCGAAAAAAGAAACACTGAAATCGGACGATTTAGTGTAGAGATATAATACTTTAAACATTTAGTACTTTTTCTTGGGAGATTTAGAGACGGATTGTTTCTCGCATAGACAATTATTTGTTGCGAATTCTAGAGTTGGAATACTAGAAAATCTCTATATCTATAAGAAGAATGGAACAACAAAAAATATCATATATCCACAAGTATTGTTATATAAAATATATTAGAAACATCTGCTTTCTTTTATATTTCTTTTTATATTTAACCAGAATGAGCCACAGCAACGCCATGTACAGCTAGTCATGAATATAATAAGACAAATTTATATTTATTGGTATATTATCTTATTAAGAAAAGAATAAAAAGAAAGGGAATGGAAAAAGTATGATGGGATTTTAAGTGTTTTTATACCGCCACCCCAGACCATCTCTATCTTCTATATTATACTACAATCAGCCATTGAGTATTCAATAGAAAAAAAATCACTTAATCTGAATATAGATATAAGTAAACAACTTAAGAGGAACCTTTTTGATATACTAATCTCCTAGCTTAAGCACCCACCCACAATATTTTACCTCTCAAGTTATTTATATACATTTATGTATACAAATCGCTAAGTTTTATAAATGTAATGCTAAACCGATTTAGGAACAGAACAGAATGTGATGGAGTCTATCATTTAAATTAGAATTAAAAATAAGTTCTCAACGTTTTAAGCTGAATTATTATATCTCTGTTAAGGTATATTGAGCCAAGGTATATTCCATTATCCAATATATGAAATATATTTAAAAAATAAAAGTATTGCGATTGTGAAATGTAACACAACAGAAACACAAATTTTTAAGACTTGGAAATAACCAAGTCTTCCAAAATGTTCTACATGAGTGTTTGTGAATACCCTAGCTCGTCTTAGGAAACTAAAATTATGTACTAATAGTAGGAAAAGGCCTAGGATAATAAAACATACATATCATTAAAAACAACTTACAAGAAGAACTACTTTACATAATAAATTTTCTTAAAATTAGCTATGAAACACATTATATCAATGTAAAATTAAATAGTCTTCAATAACGGTTGAATCATTTCCTAATTGAATTCGTTTTACAGAGATTAAATGCTGAATTACATGTGATATTTACCTTTAGTAACTTTAGTGTCCATGACAGATTTAAATACATAAATATTAACTACCTTGTCTCTAGTCCCATTCAAGCAGAAATTTAATTATTTTATTAGATATTACGGGGGAACTAGTCCAACAAGTGGTGGGCCTTACAGTACCTTTTGGCGCCTCATGACAGCTACCTAGAGATTGTAACCATGTACAAAGTTGAGTGGGATCTTTTTATTTTATTTAAATATTATTCTGTTGAGGAAGTAATATAAGAGATAACAACTTCAGAAATGATTAAAATATTGTCTGAAATGTTTAATAAAAGAGAGGCTAGAGGAGAATAATAAAAGAGAGGATTCCATTTTTTCCTCACAAAATAGCTTAGTTTGCAATTTTTCTTCAGAAACATGAAAGTTGCATTCCCCTCGGCAACAAATAAATAAATACTAACTGACCCTAGTGGGGATACAATCACAATGTTTTAGGCCAGGTACTCTCTGGAATCCTTGTTCCAAAATGCTCACCCCTCAAGTCCTATGCCACTGCCGGCCTAAGGTTGGGGCAATCGCCTCAGAACGCCTACCGGGACAAGCGCCTGTAGGGGGACACTAGCTGATCTTTATGGAGCTCATCACTTGTAAGAAATATAAAAAAAAGTAATGAAATATTAAAATAATTAATTTCAGCTTACCAATAAAGCAGATGTATTAGAGAAATGTTAAATGCAATGAAATATAAATGTTACATAATATAAAACAGCTATAGAAATAAATTTAATTTTTTTAGAGGAAAGGAAGATGGTGTCATTGTCCGGGGGACGCCGAATGTATAAGGCCGGAACTGTCCTACGCCACAACAGAAATTTAATATTCAATCTCACAGATGAGTTGCCCTTCAATATTTAGGACATTATTTTCAAAATAAATAAGCATTGAATAGTTTTGTTGATACTTTTGTTCCTTTCCATTTGAAATTCTCAATGTTCCCAGCTTAAAATATTAAAAAATAAAAATACTAATGCTAAATAATTATGATAAGTGTCAATTAAAAACCTACTAGGCAACAAAGACTAGACATGAATATTAAGTAAAAAAATTCGGATCACTCCAGTAATCCCATTCTCCTTCACATTGAATTTCAATTACTCTGTTTAAATAAAACATCTGTTTGGTAAAATAAAATGAAATAGTTCTACTAAATTTTATGATACTTAAGGAAATTTCTGTATAACAAGATGGCTGGCAACCTTACCCTCATAACCTGACATTGAGTTCTTAATCGTATTTATGATTTTTTGAACTCAATTTTTAATAAAGTTTCGATCTCTAAAATTTTTTAAACAGAAAGAAATAGAATAATAACAAACTTTGGATAGTAGTGGATTTCGTTTTGGATATTAATTCAGAAATAGTAGATCTTCCTAACCATGTTCCATTTATCACAGAAAGACGGTTTTGAAAACCTGTAACATTGTATCCCCATTGATGTGATCCACAGTAAAGTCACATCATACTCATTTTTACATTTGATGGTGTGTTAAATAATACCAAACTTTTTGTAAATACTGAACTCCATTTTCTTCGTAAGAGGGCAATTCCCAAATTTTAATTATAGCCTAGTTTAAATCTGACAAGGGAAGAAAACAAATTAAACAGAGGTTATGTCAACTCTTCTACACTAACGATAATATGTACATGTTAGAAAATAAATGAATACATGTGAAATGTTTGACAGGTCATATGTACACTTCTGTGTATACTGCGAATACTAACACTGAATTCAAACATCCAAAGCTTTTAAAATCCCCTGATTCAAGTGTCTTATCATAAAATCTCTTGACTTTTCCAGGTACTTCAGGTCGAGAAGAACCCCTGATTGTACTTCAAAATTCATATCACATCAATGTAAATATTAGGTTCAATTAAGACCAAATAATAAAATATTAAATAACCATGTGTAAAATATTTAAAGAAATAATATAAATAATCCATTTTTGTGAATGGAACCAAACAAAACAGTGGGCTATAAATACAACTAATATGTGTCAACTTTTCTAGGCCAAGACATGTTTCTTAAAAAGTGACACCTACATTAAGCAAATTTTAAACAAACATCTGAAACTTTTTGGTTACAGAGTTACCGTAAAACATTAATAAATTCATTTCCCAATAATAAACTATCAGCAAAATAAAAACTGTTACTTAAAAGTTAAACATGCTAGCATGAATATTTTTAAAAACTATGTAAATTATGTGAGTAACAACACGAAATTAATAACCTTCACCAATAATAATAGATTTCACAACTGTAGGAAATGGTTTTTGAGACTGATTCTAAAGCAAAGCCAAAAACTAAGATGAACATGTAAACATGAGCCACTAATGACTGATTGATAGGAGAGAAAAAATAAATTATAGAATCAAAGTAATGTACACATAGCTATCAAACTCACCCTCTGTAATTCAATGTTTTCAGAGAACAGATCACGAACATTTATTATTCGGGCTCTCTGATCGTCTAAGTGGCGAATAACATCTGCTATTGCTCTATAACAAAAATTTTATGGATTAGTTGCACATAAACATTAGGTTTAACAAGAAGATTTATCTTAAATTATAAAAAAAAGATAAATTGAAGATTATCAAAACCCCTTGAAGGATTCATTCATGAACTTAATAATCAGAAAGAAAGAACATATTTATACACTGTTTCAGCAATTAACTGAATTGTAAAAAATCATTATTTTGACGTTGATTGATAAGTTAATCATATATTTAATACAAAATTGCTAATTTAAATGTTTAAAAAAAAAAATAAACATAACTTACCTGTAGAGCCTTATAGATAATTCAACAGACTCGCTTCGGGAATCTGATATGGAGTTCTGCGATTTCTTCATGCTGTCACATCATTTTAACCAACATTTTTATATTCGATGAACATCAGTCATCGAAATCTTTTGAAAAATAAACCATAATTCGACACTTCTTAGCCGCCATCTTTGCTGTGAACATCCTTCAAACGCAATGCTAACATAATTTCAAGGGCATTTAAAATTTCTTGTTTAGTTACAATGACAAAGTTGGTGCAAAAATTTTATAATCCATTTTTCCACTAAAAAAATTTGTCATACCTTTAACATAAACATTGTTCCTACCACTTACAGTTTCAGGGCTTCAAAAAACAAACATCTGATGAAATTAAAACAGCTGATGTATTGGCACCAGGTTTGAATGGGTTTTGATAAAGATTGATAACGTAATCTTTTATTTTTATTTTATTTTATTTTAACAGTTAGTCTGCCTTCGCCGTTCGAAGGCGGTAGCTCGTTTAGGTTTTAATATTTCCTCCCCCCAATAACTTAAACATTTTGATTTATGATCATAATTTTTACATCGAATTTTAATTATTTTTTAGTTACCTTTATAAGACATCTAGTTTGTTATAATTTCTTCCAACATTAACATCAAATTATGCATATTTTAACTTCTAGTGCTTGTAGAAGGCTATCTGTTTTGAATAATATTCTGAAAAAAAGAAATTTTCTTCTAAATGACTCTGAGAAGATTTCTCTATATTATTGCAGTTCACATTGTGCTGAAAAACCCAAATCAAAACTTGATAAGGATGGTAAGTAGATGATAAATATCTTAACTGACTTACTTGATTTGCCAATCATTATAAATTCCAAGAAATCCATCAATTACAACTATAAGCTTATTAAGTATCTATATAAATAGGATCATTGTTGTACTTATGACTTGCAGAATGTTACAATGTTTTAGATATGAATATTTTTTTGGCTGATATTTTCAGTAACATATATTATAATATTGGCTGTATTTAAAAAGAATCACTAATTAAAACATGTGTTTTTCATTTCATTCAACTTTGTCTTAAATTGGTATCAGAACTAATGATAAGTGTTTTTGCTGTAGTAATAATTGAGAATTTATATCGTAGTACTTTATAAGTATTTATAAAACTGGATTACTCAGTTTATCTATTTATATGTTCTAATTCATGTTTTTACTTATTTGTTGAAATTATTTGATATTACGGATATAATACAGTTAAAAATTAATATACTGTCTTATTTTATTTGTTTCTAATTTATAATATGTTTATATATACATGTTTTTTAGTACTATGTTTTTTTTCTATATCAAAGTATATTTTGTATTATACACACATATGCAATAATTTATATATTTAGTATTTTTATTAGAAAGTAATGTATATAGAAATTAATTTGAAATTTCTATATTTACATATATTATATCATCAGTTTTTATGTGAAACTTAATAACTGACAAATCGCAACTCTTCAACAGAGCCATAAAAATCTTTAAAAATTTTTTCTTATGTATTTTATTTTTTAATCAGAAAGTGACATTCTATTGGCAAAATTAATAATTGTATGTATATTTCAGACAATGATGAAATAACTCAAAATCAATTTGTACATATACTTATATTGTGTCTGTATCACATTTAAGTAGATGATATGTGCATCTGATATCATATATATAAATAAATTTAGAAATAAACTTTGGTAAAAAAAGATTTTTTGAGGAGTGGCATTATAGAAATAGTTTCAATGGGCTAATCATGTTTGTAAACGTTGCATATATTAGATTGGTGGTCCATTGAGATATTTTATTACTATAAATGCTACAACATTCAATATTTTTTAATGTTTTATGACCTTCTCAAAAAGTTATGTTATCACTTTTATTTATTTCTAATTTACTTAAGTTTAATAATTTCTTGAAATTATTTCATTCACATTAAAACTTCTTATTCATTACTTTTTCTTAAGTTTTGGCTAGTCATCGTTATTACAAAGTCACTTTAAACAATTTATCGTAATTTTGTTTCTAGGTGAAACTTCTGTTACCATTGGGGATGTAAAGAAAGTGCTTGTTCCTCCTAAAAACCCTCATTTTGTACCATTAAATTATTGTAAGTAACAATTTTATTGCAATTGCTTTTTTATTCTTGCAATACAACGAATGAGTGCTGCTCACATATTTTATTTTCAGTACCAAAAGATTTGGATCAAGACACACTACACCATTTGCGATGGATGTTACAAAAAGACAAATTACGACAAGATATTTTTCTTGTTGGGCGACCAGGACCGCTAAAGAGGAGGCTTGCAATGCAGTTTTTAGAAGTCACGGGACGTGAATTGGAATTTGTTTCTTTATCAAGAGATACTACTGAAGCTGATCTTAAACAGAGAAGAGAAATCTTGGCTGCTACTGCAAAGTATATTGACCAGGTTATAATTTTTTTTTTCTTTTTTTATTAAAAAAAATTAAATAATTTTAATACAGAAAAAATAGCTCTTACTATTTAGTTCTAATTACTTTTTCATTGAAAACCGGTAAAGGAAAGTAAAGTCTCACCTGACTGTAACACAGGAGAGCAGGTATTGGCATGGATAATAAAAAAAAAAAATAAATCAATCTTATGTTCAATTTATTAGCAGTAAATATACATTTAAATCTACTGATAACATAGAAAACAAGGAATGTGTTATTCCACAAAAATGGAAAAAAAAAATCTAATTATAAAGTTTATTTGAAAAATAATAAATTTTTAGTACATTTATAATTATCCTACTATCTATTATAACTTTTATTTTAATTAATAATAGATGATTTTTTATATATTTTTTGGTATGCTAATGAAATATGAATCCATATTATAAACAAGACATAATAAAGTATATTCTGGAACGTTTAATATTTTATAAAAATAATTTGTAGCTATAAATTTTATGACATTAATATTTATTGGTGTGTTAGCATTTATCATTTTTTTTTTTAATTGATTATAGAGTGCAGTAAAAGCAGCTATAGAAGGTAGAGTTCTCATTTTAGAAGGTATTGAGAAGGCTGAACGGAATGTATTACCAGTTCTTAATAATTTGCTTGAAAACAGGGAGATGAACCTTGAAGATGGGAGACTGTTGATTCCAGCTGAAAGATATGATAAACTACTCAAGGTAATTGTATTATTGGGTATACCATCTATTTGAATGTTTATACTATTCACTTTTATATATTCAAATTCTCACGCATAAAAATAAGAACATTATCCAAGCATTAAATAATCACTATGCATTAGTTTAAATCTCTTTCTTGGCTCTCTATGTTCTCCGAAACAAGGGATTTTGACAAACTAGTTCTCAAAAGAAATGAAATTTCATTTAAAAAAGATAAATCCAATTTTTTATTTTTATTTACTACAGTATAAATAAAAAATATAGCTGTCTTGAAAACTGTAATGGGGGTAAGTCACCGAATCCAGATGGGATAAGTTGGGTTTTAAAGATTTCGATGTGGACTAAACTCAGTTGAGACATAGCTACAATGAAAACCCTAAAATTTGACTTTTTTGAGATAACGCACTGCCCTAACCTAATTATAGCGATAGGCTGCTAGATTTAACTGTTGCCATAAGATACATTTCACGTGTCATGGTTTAGGTTTCTAAGAAATATAGAGAATATTCTATATTCTTTCCCATGCTTAACCTTAAAATACAATAAGATATGAATATAAAATTGAAAAAAATTTTGAGATAGACCCTACTCTTTCGCATAAACCCAGCAGTGTTCCATGTGCTCTTTAATGATGAGGTAGGTATTCTTCACCAATTGTGTGTTAATAAAGTTTTTTGGTAATATTATCTTGCTTTTACGAATAAAGATATTTTCCTAATATTGACGTATTTTGAAATGCGAGATTTCTCTCATGGGTTTGTCATTTAATAAATAATCATATATTAAAGAGAGCTAAGATTTCTTTCTATTTCTTTAACTATTTTTATAGCAGGCTTTAATGATATTTTAATATACTAATGTCTCTTAGAGGAAGAGGTTGAATAAATAAATAACTACAACTAAAATATAAAATCTTAGAAGAAGTTAGTCGGAGGTGCGGTCAATATATAAAATATTATATTACATAATAGTATTTTTTATTGTAATCTAAATACCAATATTGTAGATCAGTTTTTAATTTCATATCAATGTTAATTGTAAATTAATAATTTGTAATACACTAATTTAGTTAATGGGGCCGGTATAGCAGACTGGTTAGCACGCTATACTAATAAAGCAAAGATCATAGGATCGAATCCTACTTCTGGCTGGTCCCCACGGGAAGTTAATTAGGGGAGTCCTACAGGTATAATACTTGTAAGAAAAAGAAATAGGCAATAAAAAAAAAAATAGTTAATGTCCTTTTTAATATTACTGATGTATACTTTTTATAAAATAATTTTTATTTTAATATTTTAGGAGCATAGTAATGATGAACTCTCAAAATGGAAGCTTGTTCGTGTTAGTGATGACTTCCGTGTAATAGCACTTGGTTTACCTGTGCCCGGCTATCAAGGAAACCCCTTGGATCCACCTCTAAGGTCGAGATTTCAGGCGAGAGATGTGCCTATTCCTCTGTATCAGGTAAGTAATTATGTTTTTGTTTATCATCTATGCTATATATGCTATTTATCTATGCTACACTTATGAATATGAAATCAAAACTTTTAGTCCATACTACAAATTCCGGTTTATCACATTATGAACATCCATCTTGAAACTTCGTGAATGGCTTCATCTTATCGTAACCTACAACTTTTTTATCTACGAAAATTCTCAGAAATGGAGTATTTTCTCAGTGACTAAATTAATTTATTGAAGTACTAAAAACTCATGAATATCTATTTGCTTTCGACTTGAGTCATAAGATAATTTTATCACATAATCGACAAAAAAGATTGCCTTCAATAATTTTGGCTGTTTGGTTAATATAACCTTGTTATTTTGACATAATGGGGTTGCAGGTCATGCCAAACAGACAACTATTTTATAGGCTTGATTATTGATGAAACTATCTTACGATTCAAGTGATAAGCGAATAGGTGTTGATGAGTTTTGAAAAAAGTTTTAGGTTTAAATAAGATCCATTTACGAAATTTTAAATGGATGTTAATAATTTGATATAAAGAGGTCTGAACCATGGGCTATTTTGAGGTGATTGAAAAAAAAAATACATTCTTCAATAATTAAAAAAAATTTTTTTTATGGTATTTCAGTTTATCTTGTAAATTTTATTTTATCTTATATCTCAACAGAATGTGATAGTATAAAGTGATAATATTTTCAAAGTCAAACTTTCAAATTGTAATAATTATTTAGATTTATAATTTTTTGTATTACTATTTTTTGTCGTTTATTAGTCCTCTGTTATTCTAAAATCTTTTTTTTTTTTTTTTTAAATGGCAAATATTTTTAAAATCAATATTCAATATGACGATCATGATCTTGTGTTTTTGAAATTAGGAAAAAAGTATTTTCATTATACCTTTGTATTGTTTTTATTAAAGACATCCCATAATCAAATAAAACATAAAGAGATTAGTTAAAAGATAAACAAGAAATTGAAGAATACATACAATTTTGGTTTTTAAATAATTTTTCTAGGAATCTACACTAGTTACTGTTGCCTAGATAATTTAAAAATACAGCTAAGGATATAATTTGACACTGCACTTCTGAATATATACTCTATATTAAAAACTCTATTGCTTCATTCAATATCCTAAGCATCAAATAATTTATTAGGCTAACTGTGAACTGCAGTGCATAACTCAAAGAGAACCATCCAACAATTTCATTTTCATTTCACTCCATTTTATAATTTTCTCATCCAATAGCTTCTGACATGACATTCATTGGAATTTAATCTACAACTCCATCAAGATATATCAATGGCTTGTATAAAGACATGGTTTGAAGTGATTGTAATAAATTTAAATGGTTTCAAGCTAAAAATGAATAAAAATAAATAAATTGTCTGTTAGAACTCGTCGAAAATTCAAGATGAAATATAAAGATCATTAACAGCTCATATGAGTAGTCCAAGAGGAATCCAATGATATTTTTATCATGTCCATCTGATCAGTTTGGTGCCAGAATTGCAAAAATGTCACAGAGGGTGTCCGGGCGCACCAACGATGTCATGAATACATCAGCTGCTGTCTCTTATTTAGAAAGCATATTCCAATGCTGGATGTTGACAAACTAACTAGGTTTCAAAACCATGGAAATACTACTCTGATTATCTTCAAATGGCAATTTAGTGAAATAGGGTTTCTTACTTATTTCGGAGCCAATATACATAAAACTCTTTTTTATTATTTATTTCAAAAATAAATTAAAACATAGTAAAAACATAAACATACTACAGAAACACTTATGTTGCTTGTGCAAAATCACATTGATTATTTACTGCAGTTCATTAGATAAAACATTTTTTTAAATATTTGTGATTATATGTTTTTACACTTTTTTTTATACCTAAATTATATAATTAAAACATTATAGGTGTCGGCATTTAAAAAATATTGGGGAGGGACCTGGGTTAGCAGTGCCGATCTTAGACATTTGGTACTCTCGGGGAATGACGTCATCTCTCTCCACCCCCCAAAAAATATTAAATCTATTTTTTAAGCTATTTTATAAATTGCATACTTCGATAATTTTTCATCTAATATATCTCTAGTTCAGTTGTTTTATTAATAATCTAAAATTAATTATTCTTATACTCTTTGTAATTTTTTTTAATTCCCAAGAAGTGGAATGCACTGGTTCTGGCCATACCTTCTTAGTGTAATAGGATAATAGTGTTCAATGCATAGGAGGGAAGAAAGGGGGTGGAACACCATACCTACAGGAGAAGCTTAGTAATCGGTTTATTGTATGTAGTACAATGTTATTATTACCTTTTATTACAGATTATTGAACTTTTGTGAGTAATTTAAGTAAACAACTGCAAAATATTGGGGGTTGAGGGCTGGCCCCCCTTCAAAACTATTGGTGGGCTAGAAAGTTCCTTCCCTGCCTGCTGGTGCCTTCTACATTGAAGTTTTTTTTACAGTGGATTCAGTACAACCTACTACCATTGTAGGATTTTAGCTCTTTAATTTATGTATATGTATATGTATTGTATTAATTTTGATACAATTAATCATTAACTGACCTGCCTGTCCTGGTTTAGAATAGGTTTGTTACCTGTAGGATAACCACCCTCCCACTCTCCATCTATGTATGCCAGAAATAGTGAGGAAAGAGCTTGATTAAAAAAATTCATGCTTCAATTCAAGTATAAATAATCTCAATTGAGCAGGATCAGGATGTCAATTAATAAATGAGATTTTGGGCAAAACAATTTCTCCATATTTTACTGGGCTGAATAAGAGATGAAGGTTTTAAGTATACAGTGGTGGGGTGGATGAGGGGCTTACCTGCATGCAAAATATGCATAAACCGAAGATTACGAGTGTGGATTCTGATGTCGATGGAGAGAGGGAGCTTTTAACTCTGGCATTATTCTCTCATCCTCTCCCCTTATCCAGGAAAAAAAATGGAAAAATAGCCGAAAAGACGAACAAGAGTAAGAGAAAACATAAGTGTGTTCAAGTCTGAAATAGCTTGGAAACTCTAGTTTATATTGTCACCATTTGAGATAAATCGAAATTTGGTATCCATGGCTATATTTGCAAAACACGCTGAAAATAATACTTTTATAGATGCCATTTGGAATTATCTATATAGGAGTAATATTTCTGACTTATACTCGATAAAACTCTTTTTTAGTTTGTCACCATCTTATGGAGGGGCATATTAGAGTAGGTTTTCTGATTAAATTTCTCCTGCATCAACGCCAGACTCCATATGGATGTATCTATTCGCCATAGATTGTATGCAGTCGCCGAATATGAAGACCATTGGTCATTCATCTTCATGCTTCATGAGTATAATTTGTCTTATGCCAAAACTCCACCAATAATGCTAGACAATATCCCTGTAGATTTAATGTTCTCTCGAAATTTCAATTTATCGTTTTACCGTTTATATGCTATTTTTTCCATAATAGAATTAACATTAATGAAACAATTCAGTTATATCTTCTATTTTATATATATATATATATTTTGTTTCGAAATGGCGGCCAAAAAACGTGTCCCTATAAACTGTAGCGCCAAAACGGCTTTAACGATTTTAACACGACTTGGCTAAAGTCTTCCTCTTTAAACCTTTTTAATTTATGTTTAGATCACACTTTCCCGAAAACAAGCTGAAAAAAATGTTACGATGAATTCAAAATTTTATTTGCCGATAACTAAAAAAGTACACGATTTTTGATAGATAATACCCATATTTATTTGAAAGATCCTGAATTCCCTATAAAATAAAAAAAAATATCGAAATTGGACGGTTCGTTGCAGAGATATAGAGTTTTAATAACATTTACTACTGTCTCTTCGGAAAAGGCTATTCCCTCCCCCCCTTTTTTTGGTTATTGAACAATCGAAAATTTTATAATTACTGAAGTAATTGAGATTATCATTTGAAGAAGTGACATGATTCTCTTTATGTAGGTCAATAATATTATACCCTCTTTAAATTCAAATTTATATTTTCCCCCAATGTATTCCGGAAGTAGTAATATACGTCTCAAATATTTGATATGCTATTATTTAAAAATATTGAACCCTTGAGTTATATTTATCACCGTTTATGTTCTTGATTCCTTTTAGAAATCATTTTTTAATCGATTTTAGTTTATTTTATGTTTTAATAAATTATTGTCTTTAACATTACATTTGAACAAGGCAGTACCGTTTGCTGGAAGGTTTTTTTTTACGAGTAAGGTTTATTTTCTCACTACAGTTTTTATAACTCTATATTTAATCAGTTGTTAAGAAAAAGCGGGCAATCGAAATATCTTAGGAGGGGTATGCGAAATTTTTTGAAGGAGGTAGAAGGCAGCTCTAATGCACACGAAACGAACGCAATGGTAAGCGATATAGCACAATTGCAACGTTTGATATTTGAAAATCTTTAACATTGAAACCACTAGCGGATCCAGGATTTAATTTTGGGGGGGACTTCAGCCCGAAAGCGTATTTTTTCATAAAAATAACAATAATTACTTTGGTAAATAAGAAAGAAACTAACTACCTATATGAACTGGTGTTTAAGTGATTCCTAAAGCCCTTTTAAATGTAATTACACGAATAATTATACTTTAAGAGATAATTTTTTAATATTTTTTTCGATAAAACATGGTTATATTTTACCATTTTGGGGGAGGGGCTTCAGCCCGAAAGCGTATTTTTTCATAAAAATAACAATAATTACTTTGGTAAATAAGAAAAAAACTAACTACCTATATGAAATGGTGTTTAAGTGATTCCTAAAGCCCTTTTAAATGTAATTACAAGAACAATAATACTTTGAGAGATAATTTTTAAATATTTTTTTCGATAAAACATGGTTATATTTTCCCATTTTGGGGAGGGGGGCTTCAGCCCGAAACCCCTCCCCCCTGAGATCTGCCCTTGATTGAATGAAACGGTATCTTAAAATATTTTGAACAGCATATGTTGCTTTTACAT